AATTTATAGGCAATAATTTCACCTCAGCTCATTTTCTCATTCCATGGCTCGTGTAAATATTTGTTATTGCTTTGACCTGAATGACAGCACGTGTATGAAATGAAATCGAGGCGTATTCGTTGGATTGTTAATATACAGGGTGTTCCAGTTCTCACATGAACCAATGAAAAATCTGCGTCAAGCAGGTATTTTCTAAAATAACCTGTATAAATCGGGTTTGTTGTTGCTGAATTCGAGGTAATTTCCATCGCAAGTGCGCCCTGTGATATCTAAGATTTTTGCTTTCAGCGCTCCAAATTACATACCTGAATGCGTCAAGTTTCGCCTGTGTACGTACATACATACGTATTGGGGTAGAATTTTCAAAAATACTTCCGTTTTTGTGATCCGAACCACATCGAATTTCCTAACAAACTTGTGTGCGTAGGATCTCAATCCGATCCATCTTTCTATTCATCATTTAAGTTAAAGTATTAAGCTAGTAGGTTTGTCAGGTCTGCTTGCCCAGATACCAGACAAAGTCAGGGAGAAAAAAGGGAAGAAGAGAGAAAGGACATCAGTCTGAGGGACGCCTTGGCATTGTTAACCAGTATTCGGGAATTTTGAAATTAATTTAGATGTTGTTGTGGAAAAACTTTAATTTAAGTAAGGGATGTCGAAGTCTCAGTGAACGGTCTCTTTGGATACGAGGGATGTCTTTCAAGTTTTGCATATAGAAACATAGTAGGCCGCGCGGATCTATGTCAGTACTGAATCTTAACCTCACTCTTTAGTAAACTTAAATTCAAAGTTTCATAACAATGCGTGCAGTGTTCTCATAACAGTGAATTTTTTAGTGTCACCAAGTCATTAGAAAAATGGAACTCAACCGAGAACATCTTCGCGCCATAATTTATTACAACTTTCATAGACAATTATCGCAACAAGAATGCCTTGCTGAGTTACTGTCTGTTTTCGGCAACGAAGCGCCACATCAGTCGACAATTTCCCGTTGGTATGGACGAATTCAAACGTGGACGGGTGAGTATTAGCGACGATCCCAGGGTGGGTGCACCAAACAAGACAGTCACCCAAGGAAACGTGGATGCTGTGCGCAGACTCATCATTGAAGATAGACATGTGACATATCGCGAGATTGAGGCGTCCTTGAAGATCTCAAAGACGTCAATTCAAAAATTTAACATGAAGAATTAGGAGTAAGAAAATTAGTTTCTCGTTGGACTGAAGAGCAGAAAGCAGCCAGGGTTAATTGGTGTCAAAAAAAGCTTGACCGTTTCAATTCCGGAAACTCAAAAAATGTGTACAGCATTGTTAGTGGTGATGAATCGTGGATTTACTGTTATGAACCAGAAAATAAATGACAGTCGGCTGTTTGGGTGTTCCAAGGTGAAGAAAAGCCAACAAAAGTCATCCGTTCTCGAAGTGTTTCGAAAAAGATGATCGCGACATTTGTGTCAAAAGCGGGTCATATTGCAACAATTTCTCTTAATGAGCAAAGAACTGTTTCTGCGGATTGGCATACCACCATTTGTTTGCCAAAAGTCATCACCGAGCTTCGAAAAATCAACCCCGAAAGAAGAATCATCCTCCAACAAGTCAATTCAAGCTCGCACACTAAAAACAGGGCAGTATTTAACGGAAGAAAACGTGGAATTATTGGACCATCCTCTTAAAGTCCTAACGTCCTAACGATTTCTTTACTTTCCCGAAAATTAAAAACAGACTGCGTGGTCAAAGGTTCCACTCACTAGAAGAAGCAGTTGACGCATTCAAAAATGCTGTTTTGGATATGCCAGCAAACGAGTGGAATAAGTGCTTCGAAAATTGGTTCGAGCGCATGCAGATGTGTATTAATCTTCGTTTTTTTTATATATACTCCAACTACCACGAAGGCCTAAGGCCTAAGCACCCATTGGGTACCGTGAGGCTATAGGGGGATACATGGGAAAGGGGAACGCCACACGGTCTCTGGCGAGGGAACCTTATGCATGCAACATGCACACATTCTGGCTCCGCCTATGAGATCCGCCGGGTGGTACCTCCGCGTTCGACAGTCAAAGACCGTCTGCCACCTACGGACAATCACAACATCCATAGCCAAGAGAAAAATTTCTCCTGGGACGGGACTCGAACCCGCACAGCGCACGGCGACTGATCAGGAGACCGAAGAGTCTCTACTGCGGCCACCGCTGCTGCCTAGAGAATGGAGAATACCTCGAAAAACAATAAAGTCATTTAAAACTACCTAACGTGTTGTTTTATTTCCATATGCAAAACTTAAAAGACAACCCTCGTACATACTATGTGCGTTACCGATTGTGCGCAAGGCTCTGTTCTGTAAAAAATGCAGACTACGCAAATGTGTTTTGACGAGGAAACATCAAGCCGTACATGCGTAAGTGACCGCTGTGTAGCCAAACCTTGTTGAACAAAGTCAATTTTGAGGTTCTACATAGCATAGGATAGAGTTGCCGAAATGTAATTTGGAACTTGGTTTTCAACGCTTCAGTGTGCTTCTACCGGGTCATCCTGTTATCAAGACTGATAACCAAGATACTTGGCAGAACTTTCCTATGGTACGTGAACTTCCATCACTCAAAAGTCGGGCAGGGCGCCGCTACGTTTTTTAGTACAATACATGTTTTCGGATGATTAATTTTGATCAGCTACCAATCCACCCATTCTCGTCCACCGCACTTTACAGAACCGAACCCTGAAAAAACCGGCTCTGTTCGGCCGTGTTGAACATTATTAATTTTGATCCAAAATTTCCTACTTTCAATAACATATTTTCCTTGAGTTCCTGTGATGTGAACCGAAACGCTCATTTTTTTTCTTAAGAATTCGAATTGTTTGTATATCGGATCTTAAAAAACTCACTCTATAATCTTCCTCAATAATTGGCATAATAATTTTCTATTATAGTTTTTTTATAGTTTGATGCTTTCTGTACCAGTTTTAACACACTTATTATTAAAATTGGATCCTTTATATAATACGACGGTTTTTGTTATTAATTTAAAAATGTAAAAGCTTCTATCGAACGTCTTATACAAACAATAGCTTCATTTTAATTATGTTAACGAACTTTTTATCGCTTTATTAATTTTACCTGCATATTTGATTACGCGAGACTGACATTGTACAATTTTACTTTTCATCGGTTTATACGTTTTATCACTCGTTACTCACGTGAATTTGCACATTTTATCGATTGTTAAATATTGTTTTCGTTATTATGTTGGAACGAAGCGATTATAATTATGGTCGTTTTTTTTAATTCATTAATTGTTCATGATACTGTAATTGTAAATTGTAAACATAATATATAATATATATAATATAATATACTCCTGGTACCTACATAATGAAATCAAAATACAGGGTGTTAATAAAGTATGTAGACAAACTTCAGAAGGTGATGGTTTGCGTAATTTTAAGATGAAAAATTCGTATAAACACAGATTCAGAAACGCTTCGTTTTCAAGCAACTTTTTTTTTTAAATCGCTTTATCCTAAATATTTTAATAAACTTTCAGTCGATTTTATTCAAATTCTGCAGTAGTATTAAGGGCCGTGAGGGGCTAATTTAGCTCCTATGAGATTGAAATCATCAAATCCAGTGGCGTCCCGGAAACACCCTAACCAATATCTTTGACAAAAGATATGTGCGGCAATGACTTTTTCCAATTTTTCTATTTTTTTTTTTTAGAATTCAGCAGCTAAAAATACAGCTTTTCTAATTTACTCAGCTTCGTTTGCGAGATAAAAAATAAAAAGCACTTTATTGCATGTTTTTGACGATTAAGTTACACGAATGTCGTCTTTTGAATTTTTTTGCTCAGATTATCTATACCTGCTTTCGACAAAACAAATAAACATAAAATATTCACATAACGTTATTAATTGTTGCAATGTTTTGCCAGTGGCGTTGCACAGTCTCTCAGGAGACAAAAAAGTTGTATTTTTAGATCCTTCGAAAAAAAATGAAAAATTTAAAAAGATATTGGTTAGAGTAACTCTCAAAAACACTTTGAATAATATAAATAATAAGCACTGATTTAAGTAAGTTATGTCAAAGCCAGATTTGTTTGAGTAGCAATTGTTTTTCTTTTCATAGCGCTCTTATTTTTTGTTACTTTTAAAATATTGCTGTTATACATTATTATGTTATGCGATTATTATATGTTATTTTGTTTTATTGAAATTAGTTTTAAATATGTGCGAAAAAATTCAAGAGATGACTTTCTCTAATGTTAGTTTGGTGGTTTCAATGTTTTATTATGTTATTGTCCCAGGGACATGCAATAAAGTGCTTTTTATTTTTATCTCGCAAACGAAGCGAGATAAAAAAATTAGGCAGACAAAAAGTTGTAATTTAGCTGCTTAATTCGAAAAAAAAAATAGAAAAGTTGAAAAAAGTGGCGCACACATTTTTTGTCTAAGATATTGGTTATGGTGTTTTTCGCGATCTCACTGGACTTAATAATTACAAACTAATTGGGACTAAATTAGTACATTACTGCACTTTATACCACTGCTTAATTTGAACAAAATCGACTGGAAGTTTATCAAGATATTTAGGTAAAGCCTTTTTTTTTTTAAAAAAGTTTCACACCCTGTATCTTGAAAATGAAGCATTTCTGAACCTATATTTATATAAACTATTCATCTTAAAATTACTCAAAGAATCATCTCCAGGAGTTTGTCTACGTACTTAAATAACACCCTGTATATTGAAAAATTGACTTTTCGCTTATACACTTTGCACTTTTAAGTTTCTGACTACCTTAAGACGTAGTCAGATCATTTCGAGGGTATCAAAAATGATAAGGTTCATTTATTGACTTGATATCAATAGTGTGTTGTGCGTAAATGGTTTTCAAGTTGTAGGAATGGCAAATACAGAATATGCGAACGCGTCACTCTACTTTTATTAAAAGCTACCATGGAAAGAAATTTTTCAAAAAGTATTTTAAGGGATGAAATTCTATTAACAGCTAGTGAAAGCATCCAACGATGTTACATATCAAGACTAACATTGGGGCTGCAAAGACCTCGTTTAACCTTTTGTATGCTGTTTGACCCTTAGTATTGATTATCTATAAATAATAAATAATCATTCCTAAGATTGCTTGTATACATCTCAGTAGTTTCCTGCCACTGCTAGGATGAATTTATAATTTTATCGCTGTGGTATTTAATTCAATTATTGTAGATGATTTTTCCGCGATCTTGAATATCGAGTTGTTTTGCAGGTTGTAATACTACACCACAGTTTTGTTATATCCACTACATCGTCTTTATTTTGTTTAGTTGATTTTAGATCAGCTTTAAGTATGATAGCACTAAATCTTGCTGTCTTGATTGTGCTTGTAACTGTTTGTGCATATTTCATCATTGCAACAGGTCTGTTATTTTCCTCATTTGGTTCGAGCTATGAAACTCAGCTTCACACAAGGTATCTACTATATACACAAACTTTGATTATATGATAAACTGAACCGTTCTGGGTTTGAATAACGATTTATTTTTTTAATATATTTTCGGTTTTGTTTCAGGACCATTCAAGACCCTGCAAGCCAAAGACTGACGTGGTACAAACCACCTTTAACTGTACTTGTGATAAAGAAAGCACGAGATGCATCCGTGCTTTCGCCTTTTGTACAACTTATACAATGGCTGATAGAGGTAAATTATTTGAATTTAGAATTTAATTTTTATTATCAAAATGCATCACATTTTTAACATGTTTTCGATTGTCTTCAAATGTAAAGGATTCTATATTGAGGGTGCTATATCTCCTAAAATTAAGCACGATTAAAGTGATCCGCAAGTTCATGAAAGGAATTTTGCAAATTTAACAGCGGACTTAACGATTATTCGATGTGAGAAATTAACAATGTTTGATGAACGTAAATCAGCACAAATTTGTCAAAATTCATCTCTGTTAGAAATGTGAAAATTATTTTCTTATTCAGATCGCCAGACATGAAATATAAGATAGTGATAAAAGTACAAATTAATCTCCTCTACTTAAGTAATAAAGGCTTGTCCGTAAAATAAGTTCCACGGGCTGCCGCTGGCGCTAGGATCGTTTCTATGCACAGCCAGGCAACAGAGGCAGATTGTTTGGTTCCCCCACTCCAATCCCTCACCAAGCCAGCGTCGCTGCGACGTTTAGTCTTGGCTCAGCAGCCGTCAGCGATGGAGCTTCCTCTTGCGTCTCCCGCCAGCTGCGAGTTGCGGTCTGTTATTCGTTTCCTGGCCGCTAAGAAGAAATCGACGAAGAACTTTGTCAAGTGTATGGAGAAGACTGTATGAGCTGCGGGATGGTGCGCAGATGGGTCAGGGACTTTAAAAATGGCCGAACAGATGTCCACGACGAAGCCCGTGCAGGGCGGCCATCGGTTTCCGACGAAACAATTGCCAAAGTCGAAGCGGCAATGCTTGAAGATCGACGGATTACAGTTCGGGAGCTGTGCACAAAGATTCCGGAGGTCAGCAAAACCACAATCGACAAGATTTTGACTGAACATTTAGGCTATTCAAAGGTCTGCGCAAGATGGGTACCAAGAATGCTCACTGCAGACCACCGGCGGCAGCGGGTTGAAGCGGCCCAAGAATTTCTCGCTTTTCACGGAACAACCGAAGAGGAATTTCTGGACTCTATTGTTACTGGTGACGAGACCTGGGTACACTACACCACACCGGAAACAAAGGAGCAATCGAAGCAGTGGAAGCACTCTTCTTCACCAAGAGCAAAGAAGTTCAAACAAATCCTGTCTGCCGGGAAAATCATGGCTAGCGTTTTTTGGGATCGAAAGGGCGTATTGTTGTGCGAGTTTATGCCTCGCGGGACAACAATCAATGCTGACCGGTACTGTGAGACCTTGAAAAAACTTAGACGTGCCATTCAGAACAAAAGAAGAGGAATGCTGACGAAAGGAGTGCGTTTTCTCCATGACAATGCCCGACCGCACACCGCCAATCGAACCACAGCCCTCATCGAAAGATTTGGATGGAAAATGGTGTCTCACCCACCCTACAGCCCAGACTTAGCACCAAGTGACTTCCATCTCTTCCCTGAGTTGAAGAAAAACCTTGGCGGAACCCAATTCCAGACAGATGAAGAGGTGCAAAACGCGGTTGTTAGTTTTCTACACGGACAGGCGGCAGAGTTCTATGACTCTGGTTTGAAGAAGTGGGTGCCTCGAATGCAGAGATGCATAGAACGCAACGGCGATTATGTAGAAATATAAAAGAAAGACTGAACTTTCCAAAAATATATTTTCTTTGCAATTAAACCAATTTTTTGATATGAAAAAAAATTGTGGAACTTATTTTACGGACACGCCTTACATACAGGGTGTTCATTTGAAAACTTCAGTGATCAGAAGAAAAAACGCGGAGGAGACACTTCAAAACATGTGTTAAGGGGGACAACTTTTTAACCGGAAACTACTTCACCCCTTTCACCCTGCGCCCCCAGGGTCATCCCCTTAAAAATTTCAAATGACAAGGGGTATCGAGTAATAGCTTGTTTGGAACTCGAAAATATCACTTTTCATTTCAATAAGTGTTCAAAATGTTGTCTGTTAGGGTTTGCCAATTCGTTTATAACTTAAAACGGGACTACCAACATAATAGCAATTCGGAAGATTCGACGTGGCAGCAACCAAATAACAACCAACATTTTTTTCCGCATTCTTTTCATCAACACCTATATCCTGGGGGAACTGTATTTACCTGTTTAGTTGCTAAGGGACCTTCTTACAAAATTTACTCAAACTGGAAGTTTGGGTCATTTTGGAATAAATCCTAATAATTCATTACGAAAAATTGTTGCTGCGACTGGTATTTCATTAGGCTGTGTACACACAGTTACTAAACTCTTTAAATGTCATCCATTCAAATTGAAATATTGCAAGAATTAACCGAAGATGATTTCGACTTGAGTTTGTGAATAAATAACTGCAGCGATTAATGATAATATCATTCGTGTAAAGAATATCTTCTTCAGCGATGAATGAACATTTTATCTAAACGGATTTGTTAATGAGCATAACCTCAGGTATTGGAGCAATGAAAATCCTCATGCTTTTGTAGAAGGGCATACCCAGTACCCCCAAAAATTAATGTATGGGCTTGCATTTTTGGAAACAACGTGATCGGGCCATTGTTTATCAATGGAAATTCTCTTATCATTGAAAACCAAATCGAAGAGGCTACAAACCCTATACTACTTGATGAGGCTGAAAATATATTTCCTTCAAGACGGCGCTCCTCTTCACTATGTTCTTTCGGTTTCGGCAATGGCTAGACGACGAGTTTCCAGATAAATGGATAGGGCGAAGAGGGTCTATAGAATGGCCTGCTAGATCTCCTGATTTGGCGCAATTAGACTTTTTTCTATGGGGCCATTTGAAATCTATTGCGTTACGCTTTTGTCTTCGCACACAAGCAAAAGTGATACAAGCAAAATTGCTGCTAATGATCAAGGCTGTGTTTCAAGTCAGGAAGGAAGATAAACAGTTTTTTTATGTTTCGTTTAAACAGTTCTGAAAACGGTACTGAGTTTTACCCGATTGATTATTGCCAACACTACGCACTTTAATACAAAGACGTCACTTGCTGATCATCTGTTCATCTCAGTAGACGTCAAAACATAATGGAGAGTCGTGAAAAATCATATTGAAGTAAATTAAGGTTATCGACATATTTATTTCGTTATGTATAATAATAATCTCTTTCAACCCATTATCCAAAGCTATGATATATGTCATATATGATTGTCAGGTTTATAGTTTTGTATGTATATTTGACCTTTCTTGGTATTTAAATACATGAGTTGTGTGTGGACGTGAGATTCCGAAGGTTCACCAAATATTTGGTTTTCGATTACAGTTACTCGGTAGCTCATCTTTTACTATTTTTATTATGGTTAACGTAGCGCTTAAATAATGATGCGTACAATTATTTCCTAAATTCCGGACATTCATATGTTATTTCTCTTCGAAGAGAATAACGTAAAAATTGGTAAAACACGTGAGCAGAAGCGACTTGCAGATCGGTTAAAGCGACAAAAGGTGGCATCGAATTATGAAAACTGACTGAAATATTTTGTAATTCGAACTGATAATGCTAAGAAAGAATAGCACCACATTTTACGTAATTTTACTTCTGACATGAATTCCTGTTGGCTTTTTTTTTCTACTCTCGTTCTCTCGGAGGCAGCCTTGAAGATTTTGATGGAATTCATTCATAATATAACATTACCTCATTTTTGACAATCGGTCAAAGTATTTGATAGTAAAAATAAGTGAGTTTCAGAGTTTCTAAACATCGTTTCGTCGTTTACCTTTTTTTAATGAGCCATTATTTTGGAGAAATTTTATTCTTTGTTTTTCTATTATTTTTAAGTTTCTGATCACTTTAGTCCAAAAACTCCATTTGTAATTACACAAAGTTTATGAGGCATTTTATGAAAGATTTTCAGTTTGTGTGCAATACGACACAATCTACTTCACACTGTTATTCGTCATTTTTTAAATCTTTCATTATTGAAATGTGTTGTTGGACATCCTGTATATACCATTATTATATAACTTATCAGGCATGACCTCTTCAAAATCAATTTATTTGAACATGTGATTATACGTTTTTCAATAGTGCATTGCTCTTTGTCGTGTTATGATTAGATAATACCTTGGTCAAGTTTGACCTTAAAAGGTGGTTCCAGTTAATAAATTAAAAATAAATAATTAATTACTACCGCACACTAAAATGCGGTTAGGAAGCTTTTAGCAATGACTGGTTACGTATTTTTGCTAATCTTGAGTCACACTATTATCATTATTTTATGACTGAAAAAATGCAAAACTAAAAGGTATTCAAGTAGCTCCAGGTGTGACCTTGTTTAAACCACGTAATGATATAGCAAGAATTTGTTCCCATTATTATCATAATCTCAAGTAACAGTTTTATTTTACCCAGGCATGTGAGGCTTCTATTACCTGTATAGCTGTTTAAGCTAAAATTGAGATTCAAATGGAGTTTAATCTAGATGTTTAGATGAATCATAGTTAGGAGAACTTTTGAA